TTTTCTCACCCGAATGTTTGGTCGTGTAAACGCACATCGGGATATCCCCATCGAAGCGTGTGTTCTGCGCATGCTCTGTTCTCAAGGAATCTTGGTCTTTTGAGTAGCTAGACGTCTTGTATGCGCCAGAACACCGGAAGTAAACAACAAGTTGGGAGCAACATGGCGAGTCGCAGCACAGCACCACACTTTCGAAGTGACGAGGAAACTAAAGCACAAACAAACGCGGTCGCTATCTCTTCCAAACTGGGAAAAATGTTGTTTTCACGGATACCGGAATGAGAAGAACCGGAAATGACGCGTATTGCGTCTGGACGTAGTCCATACGTCCTGACGCTACCCCAACGTCCGCAATTAAATCGGGTTATGCAAGTTAGAGGTAACTCTTTCTATTTATGCTTGTAAACGGGTTATTCTGATCAACTCAGAAACCCAAATACCGACCTTAACCCGATCATAACCCGGATATTGGCTGCATGTAAACGTAGTCAATGATCTCTCGAGCTAATCGGTAAACTCTCTTCTTCAGAACATCTGATTTCAACCACGGATTTAAAACCACCCTGAGCTCCTGAAGCTGACTGCATTTACTTGTTTTTACTATTAAACTAAGGGTTTGGGGTGTTTTTATATAAATAATAAATAGATAATTACATCTTTATTTGTTAGCTATTCCTGTAGCGGTGTCCACAGAGGAACTCGGGAACTCCTTTAATCACGCACAATAACACTCTGCAGAGACACAGCACCATTATCTGTCAGGCACAAGGGCAGACGACCCTAACCTTTTCACTTTTTTATACGTTCCTCTCTCCGACTCGGTGCTAGCGCTAAAGCTCCTAAACTCCTGTTGATGCTAACCTGAGCTAAGACATCAGGATGGTTGACCACACGCAGAAGTCAAAGATCAACAAGATGAAAGGATGAAATACTTCAAGAGTTAAAAGGTAAAACACTTATCCAGTCATGCGGTCAACCCTCATGGGGTAAATAAATGATTATATGTTGGTTTAAAGGTAGTAAAAAGTGCAATTAAAGCTGCTTTCCGGAGTTTTCACCTTTCAGAAATCCGTAAAAGTCATTATCTTATCATGTACTGTGATATAATGTCAACAATACGTCTTTTTTTTTTTGTTTAGCACGCCCCCTGCCTCGCAGAGCTCCGTTCAATAGGGAACTGAGCCCCGACCAGAGCTAACCAATAGCGTTAGACTCCCGCTTACTTGCTTCAAATTTAAGGAATACCTTAGTTGATGCGGAGTTGATTAACTTTTCACGGACAAGTAAGTCTCTAAAATTTAAATATATGAAAACACAACGTGACATGAGAATAACACTCGTAAAGCAGCGTGTTTTAGCTGCTTGTTGCTACAGAAGCACGTTTATAAACGGAAACGTGAAGTCGCCATCTTAAACAGAGGAACAGAGTTTTTGTGTGATATGCTCGTCAGCCACTAGATGGCGCCATCGGATAAGAGAAATGCTCCGGAAAGAGGCTTTAACTGAAATTAAAATATATTTAGAGATAATGAGAAATAGACGCCTGACATGTTTTAACAGTGAAGTTCTGCAGTCATCAGTTTATTTAAGTAAGTAATTTTTATTTAAATGGCACTCGTCACAGATAGAACGTCACTTTAGTCCGTGAGGCAGACACCTTGTCTACTTTTAAGAATAGGCTTAAAACATTTTATTTGATAGGGCCTATGGTTAAAATCTGATGTTAGCCTAAATCTGGACAAGTGGGGGAGTAGAGGGAGGTGGAGTGTACAGTCGGTAAAGACGGCTCTCCCTTGCCCTGCCTCCAACATGCCTCCATCTAGAAGGCTAGGTTATCCAGAGTTATCTCTGTAGTTATGCTGCTATAGGCTTAGACTGCTGGAGGACACACTGACCACTTTCCACACTCGACTACTTTCTTCTACAGTCTGCTCTTTAACTGTATTATTTCCTGCTATTTCAGCTGTTAACTTTATTTTTTCTCTGTGTTTTTCTCCCCAGAAGAAGCTACAACGATGTTCTGCTGAGCTGTGGTGGCCTCATGGAGGGGGCCATCATCTAGCACACTGCTGCTAACCACTTAAACATTCTCCCTCTCCTGATAATAACTTTTTACCCTCTTTGACATTGAATGTGATACTACTAGTTTACCCGTTTAATTGTAGATCCACTAGGATAAATACAATAAAGTTTATCTCTCACCAAATAGAATATTTACTAAGAAATCACAATATAACTATAGACACATTACTTGGTGTGTGTGTGTGTGTGTGTGTGTGTGTGTGTGTGTGTGTGTGTGTGTGTGTGTGTCTGCTCTGTCTCTGAATTCTAAAGTTAACGGGTAACCAGTGCAGAGACGTCAGAATAGGAGTGATGTGTGCTCTTCTGTTTGCTCCAGTCAGGAGCCTCGCTGCACAGTTCTGGACCAACTGAAGGAGGCCAAAGGGTTTTTTTGTTAAAACATGTGAAGAGTGTGTTAAAGTAACCAAGACGGGAGGAGATAAAGGCACGGAGAACCATTTCAAGTTCATGTTTTGACACCAACCTTCGCAGTTTGGAGATATTTTATTTAGACCTGCATAATTATTACTGCAGGATTAATAACTGGTAAAGACCGACGAGAGCTGAGGATGTTCTGAGAGTTTATGAATTTAGATCTAATGTGAGGTCCGGAGCAGCAGGACCGGTTCTGTTTGGCTTGTTCAGCTGAATTTTATCTGCTCCTCCGTCCCATAAAACCTTCTTATTGACAGGCAGCTCCTCATCGACCCCCCACCCCCCATATCCAGCCCACATTTTTCTTCCCTGTGAGTATTAGTTTATTGAATAAGTGGCATCTGTTTTCCTGGCCCCGTCACCGTAAGGCGAGGTATTTCTCACTGACGCGAGCCGCTGATTTATACGCCGCTCTGACTGTCCCCACAAAAAAAAGCTAAGCAAAAAATTTCTAATACATCCTGCATCCCACCACACACACACACACACACACACACACACACACACACACACGCATGCACGCACGAGCACACACACACAAACTTGCACACATTCACACACGCACGCACACACACACACACACACGCACTCACGAGCACACACACACACACAAACTTGCATGCACTCACACACGCACGCACACATACACATGCACACACACACTCACAAGCATCACACTCACACAAACTCACACACACGCACGCACACACGCACTCACACACATTCACGCACACACACACACGCACGCACGCACGCACTCACACACACGTGCGAACGCAAACACACACACACACAAACTTGCACGCACTCACACACGCACACAAACACACACACACTGGCACACACACACACACATGCGCGCACAAACTCGCACACACGCACGTGCGCACGCAAACACTCACACAAGCACTCTCACACACACACACATGCATGCGCACACACACACACGCATGCACGCACTCACACACGCACACACACACACACAAAAACTTGCACGCATGCACACACACACACACACATTCACGCACTCACACACACACACATGCACGCAATCACACGCACGCACGCACTCACACACCCACACACACACACACACACGTGCGAACGCAAACACACACACGCACACACACACACAAACTTGTACGCACTCACACACGCACACGCACACACAAACTTGTACGCACTCACACACGCACACAAACACACACACACAGGCACACACACACACACACATGCGCGCACACACTCGCACACACGCACGTGCGCACGCAAACACTCACACAAGCACTCTCACACACACGCATGCGCACACACACACACACAAACTTGTACGCACTCACACACGCACACAAACACACACACACAGGCACACACACACACACACATGCGCGCACACACTCGCACACACGCACGTGCGCACGCAAACACTCACACAAGCACTCTCACACACACGCATGCGCACACACACACACACGCATGCACGCACTCACACACACACGCACTCACACACGCACACACACACACACACACACACAAACTTGCACGCACGCACACACACACATTCACGCACTCACACACACACACATGTACGCAATCACACGCACGCACGCACTCACACACCCACACACACGCACACACACACACACGCACGCACAACTTGGCAGATGTAATTCCAACTCCAACACTGTTGGTCGTCCACTGATGGTGAGATGGTGAGACAACCGCGTCCGCAGGAGAACTCTAACAGCTTGCTTCGTGTTCTAAAGGTTCTGAAGGTTTCAGCTAAACCAAGACAAGTCTGACTTGTGGAGAGTCGACGTTCCTGTTTGCAGCCAAGAGAAAGGAAAAATCTGATTTTCTTCCCATAAACCTTGAAGGGATTTCAGCGTTCAGACTCTTTTATTTCCGTAACTGAAACTGATGAAGTCATCTTTCATTTCCTCAGCAGCTTGTAGCCACTGATGTATTTTACAAAGCTTCAAAATATAAAACGCTGAACAAGAAAGAGGAAATAAAACCAGATCGGATTATAATAATTAGCAGTAAAACATTAGGGAGCGAATAAGAAAAATAAAGTTGATTCAGGGTTAAACACCTCCAACTCCGAGTCTAAATCCAGTAAACATGGTACCAGAGCCTTCTACGGCTCACAGCACCACACACTTACTCTGCCTTTAGTATTAAAATACTAAATAAAGTATTTTGTGTGTACTGTGCTGTCGAGCAGGTAAAACGCTGCATCTTATTTTTAAACTGCCACTTGAGTTTGGCCTGCGTGTCTGGTAGTTTGGTACCTGCAGCTATCTGGACCAAGAAAAAGATGTCCGCTTCAGGCTTACACCAACATTTTAGCTGTTCGGTAAATCTCTTCACCATCACGTGTTCCTTTCATGTTTTTGGTGCTAAAGGATCCTTCAGAAGAACTGCCCTCGCTCCCCTGCAGCACTAGCATCACCTGTAGCTGTTGCATGGTGTGTTGGAGGAACATCAGCAGCTTCTCTTACCGGTCAGGGTTCTGAGGACACACGTGCATCTGCAGCAGGATCCTCTGGGTGAAGGTCTTGAAGCACTGACCACACTTCCACAGATGCCAGTCGCTGAACTCGCTGCTCAGCTGGCTGGTAGAGGTGGGACTCGCCAGGACTCGCTGGTTTTTAGAACCCAGCTGACCAAACGTGGAGTCGGACTGGACTCCGACGCCGACCTTGTCCAGCAGCGAGAAACTTCGAGGACACGGAGAGTGGGGGAAGACCATGGACCTCAGCAGCGTGGCCGGGAGGGTGGAGGAGGAAGACGAGGAGGAAGAGGAAGGCTTTCCATTTTTACTTAGGGACTGGAGGGACTCTTGTCTGGACATGGCCTCCACCACCGTAGCCGGGACGTTTACTGGAAAAGACAACAAAACACCAGAGATCAACTTGACTTATGTTTTAATACATCAGCAGAAGGCTCTAAGAGGAACGAATGCCTTGCAGGTCGTACTCTGGGGGAAAAGATCTGGTGCACGTGTTTGAGGACAAAGAATTCATCTAGAGGAGAAAGTAGCTTCACAGGGTATCCGCGGGTCCTTAAAAGGTCTTAAATTTACTTTTCCAAATTTAAGGCCTTGAAAATCCTTCAAAATGACAAGTAATCCTTAAATACGGTTTCCAAAGGTCTTAAATTACCAAAGACCCAATAAACAAGATTATTTTATTTCTATGACATTTTCGTGAATTTCTAGTTAGCGTTCAGCATTTTTTGTGTACGATGTTGGCGTAAGCGGAACCGTTCACATTCAGTTGGTTGTGAAAGGGGGCTATTTTTAGATGAGCACAAGCTCCCACTAGCACATAAGCTAGTGGGAGCTTGTGCCATGGGGAAGTGCAAGTTTAATGGTAAATGGATGGTTAATCCCACGTTCGCGACATGGAAAGTATAGCAGAAATTAAATTTTAAAAAATAGCTTAAATTTGGTCAAAGTGGCCTTAAAAAAGGTCTTAAAAAGTCTTAAATTTGGCTCCCCTAAACCTGCAGATACCCTGCTTCAGACAGCAGGATTTAGAGCCTTACTTCCTGATATGTGGACATCTCTCCTCTGATTGGCTAACAGCAACATGACTCTACCACCGACTCGGTTTGCTCTGCAACGTTGATGTTTTATCTCCACAAATAACACAAGCCTGGAGGAGTTCTGCCGTGTGGTGGAGCTGCTAATGCTAACAGTTAGCTTCTGCTAGCAGAGACGTTCCCTGCTGCTTCCTGGACGCTAAACCAACAACAGCCTTCCCCGTCGTGAGTCAAGATGGGTGAGTCCATGAATGTTAGTGACAGTGTGACGTGGATCTGTCAGGGTTTTCTAATCTGTCTGTTTTCTATCAGAATCTGATGCAGGAGATAGGTGTAGGAGACTATCTTCATGTTCAGCCTGCATGAAACACTCAGAGTGACCCGTTAGAATCAGAGATCTTTAAAAAACGGGTTTTCAGTGAACGACACCTTTAAGTCACATTTAAACAAACGAGTTGCCGTGTAAAAGTGTGTAAACTAGAGTTGAGTAACCTGCTGAAGCCGGCTGTCCTCCCGTGACCCAGAAGTCGGACCTGGACCAACGTAGGGGTCTGGTTCTAGTGCAAAATTACTGTTGCCGGCTTTGGTTTTCATCCTGTGAAACTGGTTTGTTTGTAGAAAGTCGGCGTGACGACTGACTGCAAGTCAAACCGTTGTCCCGCAACACCAGACGGAGAATTTAGTTTCCGATCAAGAACCAGCAGAACCGTTGCCTCGGTGATGACAACTTCCTCCCTCCCCCCCCAAACCAGAACCCACTCTCGGTTCTGCAGATTAGCGGCGACAGGCCAGGTGGCTCTCTGCGGCGCGTTTTCAACTGTCAAGACAAATAATTTTCTGATTTAATTTGCAACAATCAGGTTGAGTTATGAGGGGCCTACAGAGCCTACAATACCCATAATGCCTCCAGTTAACGAACTCTCAACTCAAACACCTCAACAGTGGAAGTTTCAGGTGCTTAAAAAACATTTGTGTATTCGTGTCAGACTTTTATTCTGAAGGAAAACAGGAAATTCTGAGTGGGTCCAAGAGTAAAAACCCACTCAGAACAAACTGTTGGGTTCTAGAGAACAAAGAGGTTCTCCATCTTGGGTCGTTCTAAAAATAAATCCTGTTTCAACTTCGAACTCCCAGACCAAGATAAAAGCTCCGATAGTTTCTGTTTTTGTTTATCAGGAGCAGTGAAACGTATCAACTCTCGGTCGCTCAGGACATCTGACCAGTCCTGGACGTTCTGACCAGTCCTGGACGTTCTGACCAGTCCTGGACGTTCTGACCAGTGCTGGACGTTCTGAACAGTCCTGGACGTTCTGATCAGTCCTGGACGTTCTGACCAGTCCTGGACTTTCTGACCAGTCCTGGACGTTCTGACCAGTGCTGGATGTTCTGACCAGTCCTGGACTTTCTGACCAGTCCTGGATGTTCTGACCAGTGCTGGACGTTCTGACCAGTCCTGGACGTTCTGACCAGTCCTGGACTATCTGACCAGTCCTGGACGTTCTGACCAGTCCTGGATGTTCTGACCAGTCCTGGACTTTCTGACCAGTCCTGGACTTTCTGACCAGTCCTGGACGTTCTGACCAGTGCTGGATGTTCTGACCAGTCCTGGATGTTCTGCGGACAGTGTGAGTTCAGAGCAGACGGTGCCTTTGCTGCTGCTCCAGGACTGTGAAACTCTGCCGGCACACTTGGAAACTTTTAAATCATTTTTGAAGACCCACCTTTTCGGCTTGGCTTTCGACCCAGTATGAGTCGACGGGGTTGCATGACTTAATTTTTTTTAAAGTCGACCGTCAAGTAATGAAAATCGAGTCGACTTTGACTAGTCGTTGATGACGTCATGCACCTGAAGCGTGTTGGTTCGCTGGAGTTTTTGACAATTAAAATGGCGTCCACATTTTCTAAGTTAAACACGTCTCTTCTAACAACGGTAGTTTCTGCATCCTGCTTCAGCCCCCCCACCCCACCCCCTCCCCACACACACACATAGTACACACACACACAAGCACACACACACACGCACACAAACCCACACACAGACACACACAAACAGACAGACACACACAAATGCACACACACACACACACACACACACACACACACACACACACACACACACACACGAGCAGAACTCTTCACCTCTATTTTTCTTGAGTCTGATGAGCAAAAGCCTTTAATCTGACTTAATCTGAGACGACGGATAACAGCGTGACCCATCCTGAGGATGAAGGTCTCTGTGATGCTGCATCTCCTCACCCAGGTGGTCATAACCGTTTGCCATCCCTCATCGGGCCACCAGGCCTCATTGATCCTCTAATAACCTTATGAGGAGATAATTACACCATTTGTAAGTTGGCTGGCGGCACTATCGACGGCCGCGTTACGCTCCGCTCGCCCAAACTTAATTCATTTCCCTACAAACATCGCGTACACAAAAAGAGCGAGTCGATATGCTTTGGGTGTGTGAGAAATGCATCATCAGAATGAGAGAATTATGCAGATGCAGGTTGCAACACTGCAGCGTCTGTGGTTTCTGTCAGGCGGGTGCGCCCCGGCTCTAGCTCCAGCAGGACCTCGCAGTTCTAAAAGCAACTTTTCAGGCCGACGATGAGGAGAATGTGGGTGGAGGAGCACCCCCCGCCTCCGTATCATACGGTTCATCAGGTCCAGCCCTCCTCCTCTGGAGCCTCTGCTTTGTTATGAGAACCGTCCCGTGTTTTCTGGGTCAACATCCCGTTCTCTTGTTCTTTCAGTCCGACTGTGTGCTTCTCATCCATCCACCGCAGAATAGAAAGTCTGACGGACACAGAGACGAATAAACATGTTCAAGCTGGGCCTGAGACGCCTTCTGGATGTCTGAAGGTACACGAGGGAGCTGAAGTCAGGCGAGGCGGGAACGGCGCCGTAACGGATGACATGTAGGGTTCGAGGGTGTGAAGTGACCTTTAGCGGTGTCAGAGGGACCAGAGGCAGCTGAGGGGGCTTCAGGACCATCCTGGATGGGTTAGTGGAGATGTAGAGGGCAAAATGATGCCAATGGTGAACCTTAATAGGATCCATTCATCTGCTTATCCGAGGTCGGGATGCAGAAGTACCAGGTCCAGGTCCAGAGCTACGTTCCCAGAAGACAACGTCCATCTTCTCCTGTAGGAGAAAACGCCAGAGACCAGAGGGATATTACGGGTTTGCCTGGGCCCCCCAACCCTAACCCCGGGGCCCAGTGTCTCCACCAGCTAGACCTAGCCCTAACCCGGATGAGATGATCTTCATCCATACAGAGGCTACAGGAGAGGAGCTGCAGCTCCTCATTAAAGCGGTCAGCTCAGGTGGTTCTGGATTCTGATGAGGATGGAGGTTTTCCATGAATGCTGACTGATCTGGGAATGCTGTGGGATTTCCCAGGATGTGGTGGGGAGAGACAGACGTCCAGGCTTCCCTCCTGGATCTGGTCCCTCCAGAATCAGACCCTGGAAAAGCAGAAGGCATGAACCTGGACCACTGCTGCTGGCTCGGCTGACCCACGCGACTCGTCTCTATGGATAAAGTTCAGACTGGTGCTGGAGCTTCCGGGTGATCAATGATCATAACGTTACCGGTGATTATAAAGACACGGGTAATCAATAACGGCAATAATAATAATAATAATAATAATACATCACATCACGAAGAGGCGGGAGCCGCTGTCAGAGGAGTAGACACGTCTTCAGCTCTGTCTCAGTTATTATTCCTAAAACGAGCGTTTGGGAACATCAGGGAGGAAAACGTTCCGGACAAAAGGAGGTAGAGAAGAAGAGACGACGAGCATCAGTGGGATGAAGAGGAGGAGATGATGCAGCAGAGACTTGTTTTTCTGTCCACATGTTGCTGTTGTTAGTGTCTGCGGAGCTGTGGAGACTCAAACCAGCAACCTCTGATTGAATGCAACGTATGAGAGCAAACATCCACGGGTGTGTGTGTGTGTGTGTGTGTGTGTGTGTGTGTTTGTGTGTGTGGGGAGATGTTTGTATATTTGTGTGTGTATGTTTGTGTGTGTGTGTGTGTATGTTTGTGTGTGTGTGTGTGTGTGTTTGTGTGTGTGTGTGTGGATGTTTGTGTGTGTGTGTGTTTGTGTGTGTGTGTGTGTGTGTGTGTATGTATGTGTGTGTGTGGATGTTTGTGTGTGTGTGTGTGTGTGTATGTTTGTGTGTGTGTGTGTGTTTGTGTGTGTGTGTGTGTGTGTGTGTGTGTGTTTGTGTGTGTGTGTGTTTGTGTGTGTGTGTGTGTGTGTGTTTGTATATTTGTGTGCATGCGTGTGTGTGTTTGTATGTGTGTGTGTGTTTGAGTGTGTGTGTGAGTGT